AAGTCAATTAAATTTTGAAATGTGCAAACCATACTTATTGCATACGTAACGGTTTGAGAATCGCATCCATTAAATACTGACAATCTTATGTAACTAATCGTCCTAAATAATCCAAACTAAAAAACATTTTAAAAATTGAATGTGCTCTCAACCCGCACAAGTATAATAAGGGTATTCGTTACTTCTTCTTAATATCCTTCGTATCGTAAAATAGCTTACGCAAAAAACAAGGGGTCAGGTTTTATGAAAATTGTAATCTACATAGTAACGTGATTTTTGACTACAAAATCTCGTAACCGTCATAAGTTAAGAAGAATACTAAGAATTCGAAGTAATAATGAATACCCCATTATATCACTTGGCTAAATATAGGTTCATTAGGTCATTTTAACGCTTGCCAAGATTGTGACGAACCAATTTGGCTCATACATAGGGACATACTTACATACATACATACATATTTATTTATTATCCTGCCCGTTTATCCAATCTACAAAGAATCACTAATTTATAGAGTTGTCGTGTAATATGAATAAATACGTATGTTTGATTTGCAAGACTTGATTGTGCACTCTTCAATAATTAACTTTTTTCAACGCGAACTGTCAATCTTGTCAAACTGGAACTTTCCTCTGCTTTTTAATTTATCAGAACCAGCAAAATTCTTGCCGGCGATTGATGAATGCAATACATATTTTACTTTGTAGATAGACGAACGACCTCTTTGATCAAGTATTCTAGAGGTTGATGAATTGATAACGTTGATAACAACAGAAATTCGGCTAAATTTTTACGTCATTCTAACTCATAAAAATAACGAGCCATATGCAACGTTTCTTTAGTCGCATATACATAATCCTTGACGCAGCCAACATGTTCTCCAAATTAGCTTTTGGTGCAATTTCAAAGTTTTTCTTCGCCTTGAGGAAATTACACTACGTCCCTCCAAATATTTGGAACCCAGAAAAACACAAATTCGAATTGGACCCAAATCCAAACAAAATCCGATGGATATTTTCAAATTTAAATGTTTTGCTATCGTGGTTTTTAATTCCGATCTGCACACTTTCAACGAAAAGTGGGACTCTGAATTCAGCCCAAACTATATTTCTAACTCTGGAACTTGTTCTAGCGATTCACACCGTTCCATTATTTCTCAAGGCGTGCACCGACGGGAAAGAACTTTCTGCTGCGATGAATTCCTACATGAAAGTGGAAAAATGTTTGAGAGGTGACGTACATAAATATTTACATAATTCACATCACTCAAAAACGTCGCTTAGCAATACAACTTCGCAACCTTCCAGTGTTTGCGAAATCGGAGTCGACAGTTTTGATGGTGCAGTGATTCACGACTTTAAACGCAGTCGTTCACGACTCGTGAACGACTGGATTTTAATGGAAATACGCAAACTGAAAATATTTAACAGGAGAATTGAAAATGTACTTGGCGACGAGATAGTTTACGATGAAAGTACGTACATAGATGCCGGTTTGTGTCGCATCAGGGTCTTTTAACTGTTTCCTTGGAGGATTGCTAGACAGGGTCATTTCAGTTCAATAATTCTCCAAAATTTTTTTACAGATTTTAAAGTTTGGGAATACAAAAGGCGATTAGACATGGTTTTCACGACTTTGCGCTTGAATATCTCTGGTGCAAATTCGAATTTTGAGTTGATTTTGATAGACAAGCAAGATAATACTCTCAAAAAGATATCTCTAAATTTTTAAGGCGATAGCTTCACAAATGTCCCCTCCAGAGCCCCCAGAGTTGGAAGGTGTCAAAAACCCACTTTCCAAACTTAATTATTCATGTCGCATGATAACTAAAGAGGTCAGAGATGAAAAATTATTATTATTATAACCCTAGATAATGATTGTATCTAATAATGAAAGAATCCGTAATGAATAAAATAATGTGGGCCCTCCAGCATCGCTGATACTTTTCCATGAAAAGTGATAAATCGGACCGTGCACCGGGAAATTGACCTGCTGACCTTGAAAACGGACCGACTGGGTGAAATTAAGATTGAGGGCAAAGCTCTAAGTGTCCTAAGTAATATTAAATTAAACAGTGAAGATTTTGAGTTAACAGTTTTGGAGAAGGACCCGAGCTAATCAGCTGACGTGGAATCCTAAACAACTCTTGAACTTATTTAGAAAATTAATAGTCAAATTTTGTTGAAAACAAATTTTAATAAGTTTTTTGTGTCCCCTGCTGCAGAACTATTTTACCTACAAGGTACAAGTGACAAAATAATAAAATTACTGCGTTTTGATTAGTTAAAAAAAATTTAAAGTTCCGCTTCAATTTCGAGGAGAACTTTTGTAAAAATTTTATAGGGTTTGATGGAAACTCATTTCCTGGGGTGTAACCACTTATCAAAATTTTATCAAAAGTACTTACAGTGCAATATACTATATATACCTTGGATATAAACAACGTTTGGGATTTTTAGTGTCAAAGTCCTAAAATGTGGGGGCCTTAAAAGTCGAGGAGTTGCGTTCGTGAGAGCATTCCATAGGACAAGTATGAAGTTAAACTACAAAAGGGACTTAAAAGATAAGCATGAGACAAAAGTGGTTTTATATAGTGAAAAGCATGCTGAGTCAATTGATAATAGTCGCAAAGACGATTTCTGCACTAGGGCCTCAGAAAAAATCTTTTGTTCGACGCCATTTTATAAGAACACTGGTTTGGAAAACTAAAAAAGGACACGTCTGTAAATTTGATCTTGCCTCGTGCCTCAGAGTGCACAACACCGGAAGCCAAATATGTTTACCTATAGTTCGAGACATGGGCTTTCACATAAAAAACGTTAGAAATCTCTCCAACGAAAACCCATCGCGTAATTTAATTGTGAATTTGTGCAAACCATGTCTAATCACCTTTTATATGCGCTATTTTTGCTGGGAGAATTTAGTTGTCAAGAAAAATAAAATATTTTATAAACCGTCGTAAAATGACAACGATTTAATTTAATTGCAAATTAAAATAGTTATAAAATAATTGAACTAGAATCGGTATCAAAAACGGTACCTAAAAATTTTTCTCATGCATTTATGAAGTTTTATTGAATATTTTATTTTTCTTGACAACCAAGCTCTCCCAGCAAAAATAGTCCGTATTCTCAAAGTTTAAAATCTGTAAAAAAAATTTTGGAGAATTTTTGAACTGACATGACCCTGTCTAGAAATCCTCCAAGGAAACAGTCAAAAGACCCTGGTGTCGCATATTTCGTAAAAAAAAACGAAAGGATTCTGATTGGTGTCGCATCGCAATTCTTTGAAACATCGCAAAGTTGCAAAGATACGTTTACGGCGTTTGCGAAGTAGTTGCTGCGAATACCCACAATATAAATTTATATTATATGATATTTATATCATATTAATTTAAGAATACTAATTATTATTCTTACTCACCATAAATTTTGAATGGCTTGAAAATCTTTCAAATTTAGAATATTAACAAAGTCGTGTTAAATGTTATGAATTTTCAAGATACCGAAATCCTCTTGCATTTATTTAGCAAAAAATATTCTCTAAATAATTTCTATCGCGAAATATAAAAGTTTGAAGTAATTTTCTCATTACAGAAAACCAAATCGTTCCTATGCCTTTCACCGAGCCCATCTGGTATCGTGACCTGTGGGGCTTAATATTTAATGGAATGGCCACTGCCCTATTTTCATTCATCTTTACGTTACCGATTACTTTCGTGATTGCGGAAGTGGATCCTATCTACTTTGTTTTGCCGGATACACCACGGTCCATTCTAGATGGCACCACAGTAACCCAGTTTCTGCTGAGGGTGCTCTTATGCACTTTGGCCTTGGCCGAAATTGTGTCTACCGTTGGACTATCGCACTTGACCTTGGTCATGCTTGCGCTGTACTCGAAAACTTGCATTAATCATCTCAAGTTTTACCGAAAACCAAAAGTACAGAAAATTATGCAACAAGGGCTGCACGATTGTCGGATCAAAACCGAAAAACAGCCTTCAAACCAGGAAGTTAATAAACTCGACGGTTTGTCCGATCTCGACATGTACGTCGTTCTGATGGTGCAATGTCGCCTGGTTCGAGAGTACGTCGACATTTCGGCCGTGTTTATAATGGCGCCTGGATTTGCTATCATGGTAACGTCAAATTACGTGGTGATTAAGCTGTTTGAAAAAATACCGCTACTTTTGTACCTTGCCATATCGTTGTTGGTCCTCCTCGTTCCGGTGATCGTGTTGGGTGAGCTTCCCGAGGCGGGAAAGAGTCATACGCATTCGGTAAAATTGCTGAAATTCTGGAAGGGAAGTTCTGCAACGAAAAGGACGCCGTGGGGAAGGAGAAAAGTGAGATCACTGCATCCCATCGGCTACTGGGTGGGGCCCTTCTTTCTAATAAAGCAACAAACTTTCTGAATCTATGTCGATGTGGTTCTTAATTACACTGTCAATGCGATATTGGTCTTGTAATGTAAAGAAGGAAAGAGTAATTTGTCACCTAGAGTCGTGGGACAGAGGATAATTATTGTCGAAAAACGCAGAAAAATAATTACAACACGAGGCATATGTACATGCATGCATACCTGCATTACATACTTGAAGAGTCCGAAATTTAATTATGGAGAATTCATTCCAAGCGCCTAGGTAGTTCTCCAATTAATGATGCTATCTATAATTTATTGAATTATGTACATAACAATAATTCATATTATTGGACTGATGTTAGAAATATTTCGTATAATAAATTTAAGGAGACTTACGTTCACGTATAAGATTCAATGTTTATGAAATGATATTTTTACTGTTTTATGACTAGGTTTAGAAACGATAATTTAGTTTTTTTCATTAAATTGTTTATTTTATGTGTCACTTGTGGAAGAGCATGGTTTGTGACTGTGACCTTTTTAGACACAAATAAAATTTCAATCAATCAATTAATCTGATCCATACGTCATATGTCAAATTAAAGTAAAATTGAGTGCAGTACTTAAAAAAACGAATCTCATATCAAGCACATATTTATTTCAAGCTTTATCTAGGAGGACCTATCTGAAATACATTTACACATAAATATTTTAAGAACATATTACAATGAGCAGAAGCAGAAATACATAATAAATTGACTGATATTGCATTAAATCATGATTTGCTTATTACTTCTGACCCTCGCTGTGTATAAATACTTATGCAAAAATTTCGGATGTATTTAAAAGTAGGCCAGTCCTCAAGAAGGGACTTTAATTGTTAGAATTCAAAAGCTCATAATAAATTAAAATTAAAATTACACGTCTGCATGAATTTCAAGAAAATTTTATTAATAAATGAAGCAAATTCCAAATTCAAATAATTACTTTATATCAAAAAGATGATAGTTAATCTTAAATTAGCATTAGTAATACAAATAGAATCGAAAAAATAGTGAATAGCAGCCAAAGGCTAAAAAATGAAATGATTTAAACAAGTCCAAAACACAAAGTCCAGTCTTGAGTCGCTGAGAGATCGGGTCGTTACATTTCAGATATTTATTTGCACGACGGCTTGTGATTTTCCCAGTCCAATTCCCGACACAGCTTGGAACAGTACGCGACTCCCTTGCAGCGCTTACAATCTTCCAAGCAACAGCGCCCCGCAGCGAGCAGAAGTTTGCTATGATCAATGTGCAACGGAACGGTAGCTATTGGCTTGGGATGTAACTCGTCAATTTCACCACAATAGGCGCAGAGTCGTTTCTCGAAGTACTTTGCGAGCAGACGTTGCACAACGGGGATGAAACCTTCTGCAGCACTGGGATCGAGTGGAGTGTCGTTATGCTATTAACGATATATAATATACATTATATAATGTATAATTGTGAACAAAATGTAGCACTTGAATTTTATACTAATTGACTCACTTGACCTACAACTTGTCCCGGAAAGTTTTTTTTGTACTCGTCCAACTTCCCGTGAATGATGACACTCCCATTTGCCCCTTTATATCCGAACTGTCGCCCAGTGGGGTCCACGATGTACAAAGTTCCATCCGGTAATTCGGCGGAGAGGACGACGTGTCGAATAGCCAATTTATCGCCAGCGTTGTTCACAGTTGTCACTATTTTCCGCGTACCACTCCCGATAAATTCTGGGCGAGGAATGTCCCCTGACGGCTCAACACCCAAGGGTATTAATGGTACGTCAACGGCTCGGGAAATTTTCTGTTTGACGGAGTAAACATTGGTCGGGACTACTTCGAAAATTGTGGGTCGCAAAGATGACAGCGGGATCTGTGACATCATTCAGAAATAAGAATACCCACATAAATCCAGCTTAATGCTAGCTTGCTAGCGTAACTATGCACTTAAATGTACCTTGTCGCCCGTGGGAAGAATCCAATTCTTGATGCCCATTTGTTCCAGAGATGGAACACTGGCTAAAATTCCGCCCACCAAAGCTCCCGTTTTACCAAGAAAGGTTAACCCCCAGTAAACATCAACCTTCTCTTCGTCACTCTTTTGGGGAATATTTGACACACAAAAATGGATATCGCCCTGTGGTGGTAATATATCACGCAAGTAGTCATCCAACTTCCAATCCATCTTCCAATTCTCCACGAAGCTGCGAAGATTCTTGATTTCGGAGACGGAATTTACACCCCCGTCTGGAGATGGCAGTGGGAAAAGAGCATTGCAGGAAGAACCACTACGAAAAGTGTCATTAGTCGTAATAGTCGTTAGTCGGGTAGCTTCGAACGGTCTGTAATAATTAATTATAATTTGAAAGTTGTGGGTAGATTGATAATTATGTCAATATAATTGTACGACACTCACTCGAACAACGACTCTGAAAGTGACGAAGGGTCCACAATCTGCTGAAACGGTAGTTCCGGGCCAGGCGCAGACTCCACGTCGACCAGAATCTCTTTATTTTGCAGGACGACGGGCAGATTTTCCTCCAAGTTCAGCAGGCTGAATGGCATGTGTTGGACCGCTTGGAGGATGCCAATGGCACGAAGAGTGTACTTCACAAGGTCCAAATCCTCCGTATCTGCTTCCATCTTCTTCTCAATAAGGGACGATCCGTTCGCCATGTCGCCTTAATTAAATGCCAAACCCTGCTGATAAGCGATGAGGAATTATAAATTATAATTTTTTGGAAGTTAAGCAAAATAGTGTTATGTCCGACATGGAACATTAATTAATTGCCAATTTTATATAGTGTCGTGCTTAGTATGTGCGATAAAAATAATGATAATTATTGATAATTAATTAATTAGCACCCTACATACCTTCACAAACCAGTCAGCACTATATTTCACGACTTTGTTCCAGATTTGTCGATGTGTGACGGTGTAATTTATGAATTGATAAATAGTAAAAACGAATTTCCAATTTGAAGAAATAAAAAAAAAAACTTCCACCTGACTTCAACTTGAGGAGGAGAGAGAGAGTGAGTCTGCGGGAAGTCCTCGTTTGGCAGGAAGGGGTGCTTTGAGAATTTGAGAAGTTGCATGCAAAATAAATCAATTCTCTCGAGTGTTAATTACACTATACTTAATATACAATTAATTTAATTTAATTGTCTTGAATTACAATTGCAACCCTGTTTCCCCTTAGTCGTAATGAAATATATAATCCTAGTTGTAAAGCAACGAGTTGTATAATAATAAATTAAACGAAACGATCTTACTGGACAATATTTTGTGGGATGAGGATGACTAATATACATACAGTACTAAAAAAATGCTAATCCTAAGTAAATGCACATGTACATATGCATCTACATATGTACATGCATATGTGCATATCCATGTATTTTAGTACATACATGTGTACATATGCTCATAAAGTATATAAAAACAATGTAAAATATACATAAATGAACATAAAAATTTACATATTTAAGAAATACAAATACTGCATACATTTCCTTAAAATCATTCGCCTCGTCGAAACTGGATCAACGCCACAAGAAATCCGGCCATTCCACTCAGAACCTTATTCAAGAAGCAATGCATACCAAATTATGAGCCAAAATTTATAGGTAAGTACTAATATTTAGAAATTAGGAAAGTTAACTTAGGTATTTACCGTAGTCACAGAACTTGACGCAATGGTAAAGAATTGTTTCGCCGTCACGGTTGGAGGACTTGATTCTAGTTGAATTTGCAAGTATCGAATCTATACATGAGAGGGAATTTAATTTAGCTTATAAAAATACATAATTTTATTACATAAGTATGCGACGCTCGACTTCCGGAAGTTGACCGGAAGTCATCAGTCACGTTTTTGTATGTAGTAATTTATGCAAATATGTATGACCCACCTTTCTTCTCGAACCTTCACTCAATTCATCCAAGGGCACGTGTTGAATCAACGTCCTCACGACGGATCTCGCCTCGTCGGAAATATTCCCACACGAATACCCCAATTCAACCACTTTCTTCCCGTAGAAGTACATGGACCCCAAATTCTGCCCAATCACCCTCAACTGCCCCCTGTTGAGCCAGAAACATCCGAAGAACGCGCTCAGAATTATGGTCGAAATACATGTTATCATCTCCCAAAGTAATCGCTCCCCAAAAGTCGTGTTAAACTGGGAAATCATTTCCCCCAAGGATTCAACAAGTTCAATATATTGATTCACACTTACATCCAGATCATATTTGTATAATCCATCTTCATAAAAATTTTGAAAAAATTCAACATTTTTGATCTTAATTGTTTCCTTTGCTTTCAACTTCTCCATTTTGCCAAAAATTTCACCCGGATACCAAACTATACTTGATGCTCGTCTCCTCCTCCCCGTTGCAAACTTTGCTTTAATATCCTTTATAATTTCTCGATAACACGCACAGTAAACCCGGGGGAAGAAAACGATCCATAAATTCCCAATTAGCAAATAACTCCAAAAAAGCCAAGCTCCAGATCCCATCGTGTACACGATGTCGGGCAACCACCTCCCAAATTTCTGGTGAAGGAGGAGCGGTTCCACGATATGCGCCATGGTGCATAAGACCACCAATGGGATAAAGTACGAGTAGAACGACCATTTCAGGTAGCTTTGCACCTTGGCAATTTCACTCCACTCGGAAACTTTGAACCCGAAGGATTCGAATTTTTCGAAAAGTTTGAAATTTTGTTGGAAAAGGTGCGAATCTTTTTCCCTGAGACGAAAGGCTAAAAAGCGGAGGTAGACGCCGGAGCTTGTCCCGGCGATTATGATGAGAAGATAAGCGAAGGCTTCCGTCGAGCCGAAAACTCGCATGAAATAGAGTTTGCTTTTGAAGTGGACGTAGTACGTGAGGGTCCACCCGGTCATGACGAAGAGTCCGAGGAGGGAGGAGATCGTGGGGAGAGAGATCCAGGAGAAGAACAGGGGTGGAGATGCTTTGGGGGTGATTGATAAGGGAAGATAACCAGCGAGTTGACAGGACCAAATGGCATATCGGCTAGTTTTTAAAAGTGTTTTCGAAATTTCGTGAGGACGAGGAGCCATTTTTTGAAACAGCGAGAGAAATTTTAAAATATATACTGCGAACTCCGAAGGAATTCGTGGTCGGGAAGATTAACGAGCAATTTACGAATATCATGCGCTTAAATAGGTACGTACACGTGAAAACGATTTATTGCGATGTTATGAAAATTATGTAGGTCAATTGGAAATTAGATATGGTGAGGGGCTTATTTCATTCGTAGTTTATGCTCAACATTTCTGAAATCCCATTTCAATTTGTCTGGAAATTGATCGTGATTCAAGGTTGAGCACGATAATGATGAGGTGCAATTGTGGCTGGTGGAAAGGTAAATTTATATTTTGTCGTCTCAAATTGTGTGTACAACACTCGTGCATACATATGTATGTACATACATACGCATGTAAATATGTACATGTAGCTTGCAACTGCTAAAATGTCTGCCATACATATATATGCACACATACATTATATTAACTTAAGCATATGTCGGTATATAGTAACCTGATCCGAATTATTTGAAAACCTTGAATCAGAATTTACATGTTTGCAAGCAACCAGACTTTCCAATCTACCCAATTTAAGTGAAGACTTACTTATGTAAACTGTTAAGCATTGGCATGTCTAACAATAAGTATGCATTTCTCAGATGAACTGATGAACTGGGAGAATTATCATTAGCATTTAGTTTTGAACCGTAAATAATTGCATATACATAATTTGCTACAATAGTCTTACACTCTTCTTAAAATAATATTATACTCTGTCATTGCTCTTGCTCTCTCAATTCCGCAATTGAGTAACAATAATGAAAACCGGAATCTGTTTGGACAAAAAGAAATATGATCTGGATAAGCTTGTCATTGTTTATAGAGCTGATTTTTGTGAGTTCAACGGTGTCAATAATTTGGATCTACTCCGCCCCCTCGCTGAGTGGGAGGAGCTCAAATTTGGAAAAAATCGCTCCGTCTGCGATTTTTAGCGCAAAGGAGGGTCAATATTTTTGAAAGCGGTTTTCACCACAAGTTTCCTAATTTTATTCCCTACAACCCTTTTCAACCGTTTTTTGAAATTCCAAAAACGTATTTCACGATTTCTAGCATCCAGACCTTAACACAAGGGTAGATTGGGAGCTAACATAGCAATAGATGGGAAAAAACTCAAAAGTATTCTTCTGTCCCTGGAACATCAGGGAGTGGTTATGCACGGGACAAAGTATGTATATTCTTAATCCTCCCGCCGAGACCTTTCCAACGATACCTCACTTATGGGGTAATGTGAGACTTGACCCTCCCCTACCCTTAGTCCCAAATCGCGTAATTGGTTTTTGGAATTTCAAAAAACGGTTGAAAAGGGTTGTAGGGAATAAAATTAGGAAATTTTTGGTGAAAACCGCTTTCAAAAATATTGACCCTTCTTTGCGCTAAAAATCGCAGACGGGGCGATTTTTTCCAAATTTGAGCTCCTCCCACTCAGCGAGGGGGCGGAGTAGATCCAAATTATTGACACCGTTGAACTCACAAAAATCAGCTCTATAAACAATGACAAGCTTATCCAGATCAAATTTCTCTTTGTCCGAACAGATTCCGGTTTTCATTATTGTTACTCAATTAGTAAATTGACACATGAGTAAATATGTGTGCATGTATTTATATATGTGTGTACATATAAGTATAAACACATTCACATAAAATGTGTGCATATTTATGTGTCCAACTCCATCGGAATTGGATTGGATATCGAATTGGATGCGGATAATATGAGGATTCGGATTTGTGATGCAAAACTCTAGGCACAATGCCGCATGTAATGGAACTATTATGAATGTTTTGGGTAATAGGCCCCCCTGGTTTTGCCGCTGTTTCATTTCGTCCGTAGGTTAACATGGTGGCGGGCGGATTTCAAATTCAAACAGGGGACCCATTGCCCGAAAAACGCATAATATTCGTACGAATGTATGTGGCTTCTCAAAATCATTCATGGGTTTCTGTGAGATTTCATGATACCCTTTCTCGAAGAGTTATGTATATACATGTCTTCAAGAAATTTGAATAATTAAAGTTTAGATATTTGACTGGATTTAATTTCACATGAGAATGATGACATTTGATGTAAATATATACGTACACATACACATACATACATACTTGTACATGTATTTAGTTATAAGACGACCGCAGAGCCGGAAATTAATAGGCTCCAGTCAGTCTCAATTGTGACATGAAATCTTTTCCATTTCACCTTGATATTTTAATATTGTGACCTCTTCAATCCCTTCGTTCGTGGGCGTCTTTCATTGGTGATTGAAGTTATAAGAGCTCGGACTTCTGCCAAAATTTCATTGAGATTTGAGAACTGGGGATCAAATTTTAGTCAGTGTCTCAACGACGACTCGAGAGGAATTACAAGTGTCCCAAATTTGTCCCATCATCTGAAAAAAGAATAACGCCCTCCAAATTTATCGTACATACCTTGTACCTACATATTTTGCGGAACCAACCCGTCCCCCAAAAATGTGTTTGTGACCATGCCGCCTTTCGACAAAGTCTGAGTTCACGTCGTCACGGAAATATTACGGTAAATTTACATATAACTTAAATCACACAGAAACTTTGAGATGAAATTTGAAACAAGGATGATTTGCAATAGCTTTCCTTACTACTTTTTACACCATTAATTAAAATTACTTATGTCAAAATTTGTGTTATATTTCAGTTTCTGAAATGACCACTCAAGGAGAGGCAGTCTCCATCCTGACAATGACCAAGGACAGGATCACCATTGACACGAACGCGATAAAATCCTGAGAAGATTGGAAGCAATAATTTCGCAGTTTACTCAATTAATGGGCCCAAACGGACTGGAAAGAGTTTCATGCTTTCAAATTTTATTCGATACCTGAACCACGATGATCCTCAAGGGAACAATTGGATTTTGAATTCTGGAAATATGACTAATTTTGCTTGGAGAGGTGAGTCGGAATTTCATTTATTGAAATTTTTTGAGACCATCTCCAACTACTTTTTGTGCATGTTGTTATAATAATTATGTAAATTTTGTTTTGTGTTTTAGGCGGATCTGAACGTAAAACGGTTGGCATTGACGTTTGGTCTGAACCGTTTTGGACGACGGATAACGGACGCCGAATCGCCGTTATCCTCATGGACACGCAAGGCTCATTCGACGACCAAACGACCATGCAGCAAAACGCCATCATTTTTGCCATCTCGACTCTCTTTTCGTCCGTCCTAATCTTTAACATCAAATTCGACGTGGGCGAAGACGTCCTCCAGTTTTTCCAGTTCTTCTCGAGCTTTGCCACTCTGACCATCCCGGAAGTCGATGGGGACGCAGCGAGTGGGGGACGGGGGACCGGCGCCTTCCAGAAACTGGTCTTCCTCATCAGAGATTTTCAATTTATCCAAGACTACAAGTTTGGATTTTACGACGATAACCTGGTACCTGAGGGACAAAAGGCGAATTATAAGAAGGACAAGTTGGACTCCAACCCTGGTCAGCCGACGGAAGTGAGATTCACCCATGACCAAGTCGTTAAAAGCTACCAGGTATTTCATTAATCTGTATAAATCAGGGTTGGAAAAAACTTTTGATTTTATTCTACATATAAACCCAAGGGGTTTTTGTTGGTTTGCGTTATTAGAATTTTTGATCGGGTCTTGCCTGATTTATTTACTTTTACTGGAAACGAACTAAAAAAAATTGATCATACCTATTTCAATCTAAAAAACTCCTTTTTAACTTTCACCCAGGATGTCGGCGTTTATCTGATGCCCGAACCTGACAAGGGATTGAAACAATACGACAAACTGGACAATCTCGATCCCGAATTTGCCTCCCATGTCGGCGCCTTTGTCCCCCTCATGCTGTCTTCAGGTCATCTCGTCACCAAAAAAATGGGTAGCGTCGAGGTCACTGGGTCCGAAATGATCAAATACGTCAACTCCTGGGCCACTCTCTTTGAAGGGAATGACCTCCCAGAAATCAAGAGCGTCTACCATTCCGCTGCCGAGAGCCAATTCATCATCGCGAAACATTTGGCCACTACGTTCTACTCGTCCGAAATGCAAAAATTTATTCTGCAAAATCCCGACGGTGTGAACGACTCCGAATTAACCACACGACACTCGGACCTGCTCAGAGAATCCTTCACGATTTATAAGAGCAAATCAAAATTAGGCGGGGCGACCATGGATGCCAAATTTGGCGAAGAATTCACCACAGAGTCGGATCGCCTTTTTGACACGTATAAGTCCACTAATCACACCAACTTGAAGGCAGCCGAGGCAAACGAGAAGTTAAAGAAGGCTCAAGAAGATTTCGACCGGGAGGTGGAGGCTCAAAAAGAGAGGGCGCGAGAACAAGAGCAGAAACAAACGAGGCACAGGCAGAGAATCGAGGATGAAATTGAAGCTGGGAGGAAAGCCAATCAGGATTTGTTGAATGCCATCAAGGCGCAGAAGGAGGAACAGGAACGCGCACGGGCAGAGGCGAGAGAACGCGATGAGGCATTTCGAAGGCAGATTGAGCATGAGAGAGAACTTGCGAGAAGGGAACCTCCGCCAAATCCCTTGGAGGAAATAGTTCGTGGCGTGGGGAGAATTTTTTTCCCTTGGGCTGGTATGAGACGGTTTTGATTGTGAGAATTACTTAAGCAGAATCCCATCAAGGAGAGCTTACATATTTCAAATATGAATCGTAACAGCAGCATTAAAGTATTGTACCAATGATTTAATCGTAGGTATATAATGGTAAAAATCTTATTGGTTGGGGGGTAAAAAGTTTGGGTGGATTTTTGGTGAAATTTCCAGTGTTAAGCACGTATTTTTGGGGTGTTCTATAGAAGATAAAAATGGTTTAATAAGCATGAAATCCTAAATTGAATTTATGCAAACTAGAATAATAATAATAATTTGTTGGTTACGGGAGTAAATTATTTATTTTGTGAAAGAGTTGCGAATAAAAACTCTAACTGATTAAAATGAAGAATTGTGTAATTTGTTGAATTCATACATATTTGCTGTTATGTACCTATTAATATAACATACGTACATACATATTTGCAGTATACAAATTGTCGATTTATTTGCATATAGTATGTTCTAGCCACGTAATCCTCGGCCACCAAACTCGGTGTGTGAGACATGCGAAGGATTGATATGGGTACGCTCAAATTAATTTTAAAATTTGTGCAATAATTTCTACATGAAAACTGGCCAAGTTTGTTCCCATTCCTTCTAAATATATTCTTTTATGCCAGGCACAAAAATGAAATCCATGGGATTGGAAAATTTAATGCAAGGTTTGGAATTTAAGGTAAGAAAATTGAATATGTAAATTTCTCGGCCGGGTAAACCGAGTACTTAAGAATACCCGGCTTGGGACAAGATCTTGAAAAATGCAACACGAAATTTTTAAAAGTTAAAAGTTTTTGAAAACTAGATTTTCTTACACTACGCAATGTAATTATGTGCAATATGGTGTGGGGCCGATCTGTCGCGAGGTCAATATGACCGGGTCAATCTGACGTGGTCAATTTGACGCCCACCCACTCCTTAACTCATGTCTGGCCCTGTATGTATGTATGATGCGCTTATCTATTAGAAAATAAAATTATTCAATAAAAAATTCCTGGAACTCGCTATGTAAATGTTGGAGGGCAGTGCATGAATAAAACTGTCATGCTGGGCACATTTTATGTCTGGGAGTAGTATAGATTGTGTATAGTAATATATAATTCCACTATTTATACATAGGTATACATACATACATTTGTATAATGTGTACCCAAGATCCGTGAAGAAACGTTTCAAGTAAAAGAAATAATAAACATGATTCTTATATTTATGAGGGTAATCGTTATTTCTTTGTATGTTTAATCCTTACTAAGGATTCCTTAGTCTCGTAGACTAGATTGCGAAGAAAAAAACAAGGGGTCAGGTTTCCTAAAAATTGTAAGCTTAGTAACGTGATGTTTAGTGACAAAATCTTGCGGTGCTTACAAAATCTTGTAATCGTCGTAGCTAATTTTATGATACGAAGAATACTAAAAATGCGAAGATATAGTGAATAAATCTATCCATCTATTTATCATTCATATTACATATATATCATATTATATCATACGTAGAATGACTCATACCAAACGGAGTTCTCAAATTAAAGTATAAACATTTTCTCGAATACTTAAGTGTATCATACAGAACACGACATTATTAGGGGAAATTTCAAGAAACCTCTACTGAACCTTGTTATTTGTGTAGTATGTGGATATGTCATATGTGGAAAAGTAGATGAGACGTCACTGATTATTCATGTATCTCACAATAAGTACATATGTACATAAGGAGTTGAAATCTCGTGATAAATTTACGCTTTTGCACTCTTTGCTTCTTACTCAAATTCATTCCATACAAGGCAAAGGCGAATCTTGTCCTGACAAATTAAGTCAAATTTACTATATCTTCAATTTCGTAGTTTAGGTAAAACAATTCCTCAGGTAAATACATAGTTTTATCATCTAAATTCTGTCAAAATTAAAAACAGGAATGTAAGATAGAGCGGGTCGTATATATACCCGATCACTTGCAACTTCGGCCTGAAAATTGTCAAAAATGAGTTTTGAAATTTCAAATTTCTGTAGAATACTAAAAATATATCTAGCCAAACATATCCATGAACAATTAGGACTTTAATCCATTATTCACTTTGCATTTAACTTTTTTCTTCACATCCGCCGTTACTGATTTTTTGGAAGACTTTGCAACTTCATTGTTAATTTTCTGCAACCGGAACCAAAATTTTCTTAAAGTATCGACTGTTTCCCAAAGCTGGAAGTATTCCTTCTTACACATAGGTCACATTTTTTATTGAGCGAAAATGAGGCATGTACGTAGGGTTTCCATTTTTCGACGCCAAACTGAATTTTTTTTTCGATTTCTTGCTTGATAGTTGTTGGATTGTGGAATAGTCCAAGGTCGGTCTAAAAATTACATTTTCTATTTAATAATACTCCTTGATGAAAGGAATCAGACGGTCTATCCCCCATTCCCGAAACCAAACTTGTACCTCCTCACAGCCCTTTTTAACTGGGGGGTCCGAAACGTGCCCAAATTGCCCGAACGCCAACCAAACCTGAGGTTTTTTGAGAAATTTTTACAAAGATTTGAATTTCTCTACGGTTTTCAGTTGGGAGATATATTTCCCATGAAAAAATTGCCTTCCCGGAGTTTCTGTTACGTTTTTAAGAACGTAGGACTCGTCGTCAGTGACCAACTTTTTTGGTGAGATTTTGTTGTAAAGCTTGGGAGCAGGGTTGCAGAAATCTCATCTCACCCTCGTAAATCTCATCTCACTGAGATATAATGAGAAATAGTGAGACATGAGAAATATGAGATTTAGTGAGATTTATGAGCCATGCACTAGCGCCACCTAGCGGACGTGGTCATGAACTACAAGTTTATCTCATTATTTCTCATATTTCTCACTCAGCCCCAAGTGAGATGATTGATATATATCATTAAATCTCACTAAATCTCACTCAGTGATATATATCACTTGTAACCCTGCTTGGGAGGTCGTGCGATTACTATTTTTTCTTCAGTTCCCTATGTTTTGCTGGAGATTTCTTTGCATACGCTTTGACCCCCATTTTATAGGCCTTAATATGATACAAGTGGTTTGTATTAATCTTTGACTTCATGGCCGCATCAGGCACCGACGTGGATGAAGAATTTTGTTAAACAAATTTTTCGTTTTTCATTTTCGGAGGAGTCGAAATGATGGTTTTTTCTCATCCTGCGTATTTGGGGTTGTCATTTTCGGATTCTCCATACTTTTTTATGTATGTCTTAATTTTTGCACGGCCACATCCCTGTCAGTTAAAATGTAGTCAGGCCTTCAACGAGTCAATGTCGAGCAAGTTTTGGGACTTACAAAAACTTATTTCCCGACTTAGTCGTTTTGAAATGGTATAGGAAATTTTGCTTTCGAGGAAAACTTATGAAATTTTAGGGACACGTAGCCAGATATATTTACCTTATTCCACAATAATTTCAGATTTCAAAACTTGTTTTTGACCATTTTGATACCGAAATAAAAAGTGATCGGGTACATATAAGACCATCTCTATTTATGTAATTTACCTAGTTATAACTTGTTATATTCATAATTGAAAATATTCTAAATTTCCATAATAATATTCCAGTTTCTGAAATGACACACCGTTCCTGTAAGTCCAAGGGGGAGCCTGTCTCTATCCTGAAGATAACCAGAGATAAAGTCACCATTGACACGAAGACAATAAAATCCGTTCTAGAGAAGATTGGAGACCACAATTTCGCAGTTTACTCAATAAATGGGCCCAAACGGACTGGAAAGAGTTTCATGCTTTCAAATTTTATTCGATATCTGAACCAGATACGTTCTAAGGGGGATAACTGGGTTTTGAATTCTGGAAATATGATCAATTTTGCATGGAGAGGTGAGTCTCGATGTTGTTATTTTGGTGATGCATACTTCTAATAATATAGTGCATGTGAGTAAATGCCTCGCCTCGTACTTAACTTTACCAGTTGGTTACGATTTATATATAACCATCATATTTTACATAAAAACGGCCTAGGGTTTTTAGTATAACTCAATATTCCGGCGAGTATAACGCCCTAATGAATTGCGTCATTACTTTTTTGCCAATAATTTTCAGGCGGATCTGAGCGTAAAACGGTTGGCATTGACATCTGGTCTGACCCATTTTGGACAACGCATAACGGGCGTCGAATAGCAATTGTCCTCATGGACACGCAAGGCTCGTTCGACGACCAAACGACCATGCAGCATAACGCCATCATTTTTGCCATCTCGACCCTCCTCTCGTCCGTCCTCATTTTCAACATCATGCGCGACGTGGGTGAAGACGTCCTCCAGTTTTTTCAGTTTTTCTCGAGCTTTGCCACTCTGACCATCCCGGAAGTGGAGGGAGACGCCGCGAGTGGGGAGCGGGGGACTGGCGCCTTCCAGAAACTGGTCTTCCTCATCAGAGATTTTCAGTTTATCCAAGACTACCAGCTCGGATTTTACGACGACAATCACGTACCTCGGGGGCAACAGGGAAACTATAAGAAGGATAAGTTGGACTCCAACCCTGGTCAGCCGACGGAAGTGAGATTCACCCATGACAAAGTCGTCAAAAGCTACGAGGTACATGTTTTTTTTATTTAAATCCAAATTTTCTTTAAATTTATGCAGTGCGTTTCTTACCATTAACTCCCATACAGAGTTTTGCGAATTTGTATGAGGGCCAATAACAGCATTACCTATTTAGTAATTTCAGTATTCTTGAAATCGATTCCTTTCCAAGATAAAAACACGATTTGGGGATTAATTGGGGGGTTGGGCTGTTAATATGATAATCTTAGGCCGTAAAACTGTTTAAAATATGGTGACTATCCTCCAAATTAAAAAATTCAAATTCTAACGTAGGATGTCGGCGTTTATCTAATGCCCGAACCTGACAAGAGATTAAAACAACTCGACAAACTGGACAATCTCGACCCCGAATTTGCCTCCCATGTCGGCGCCTTCGTCTCCCTGATGCTGTCCCCAGGCCATCTCGTCACCAAAAAAATGGGTGGCGTTGAGGTCACTGGCTCCGAAATGATCAAATACGTCAACTCCTGGGCAACTCTATTTGAAGGGAACGACCTCCCAGAAATCAAGAGCGTCTACCATTCCGCCGCCGAAAGCCAATTCATTATAGCGAAACATTTGGCCACTAACATTTTACGCGTCTGAAATGCAAAAATTTCTCCAGCAAAATCCCGACGGCGTGAGCGACTCCGTACTGTCCACGCGGCACACGGACCTGGTCGGAAAGTCTTTCGCCATTTATAATAGCAAATCAAAATTGGGCGGGGAGACCATGGATGCCAAATTTAACGAAGAATTCACCACAGAGTCAGATCGACTTTTTGACACGTATAAGTCCATTAACCACACCAACGTAAAGGCAGGCGAGAATCTAAAGATGGCTCAAGAACAATTCGAACGCGAGGTGAAGGCTCAACATAAAAGGGCGCAAGAACAAGAGGAGAAACATGCCAGGCAGAGGAAGAAAATGGGTGCGGATATTGCCGCTGGAAAGAAGGACCGTGACGATTTGCGGGATATGATGCGTGCTCAAGAAGCGGAGCAGAAACGTTTAAGGAAAGAGGCGAAAGAAATGGAGCGGAAATTTCAAAAGCAGCTAGACCTCGAACGGGCGGCTACAAGGAGGAAACACCGAAATATTTTGGTTGAGATAATTCGAGTGGTGGCTAGTGTTTTCATTCCTGGGTTGGGGCGACTTTAATTGAAAGACGTGAAATTCAATCGGAATGTGTACATATTTATATGAGAAATGGACGAATGATTTGACAGGTTTATCTAGGTTAAAAATCTTTTACTGATATATTATGTCAAGAACCTAGAATAGCTTGGATTTTCATGGCACCAATCATCAGGATGCTGTCCTGACAATTTCAACTCTTTCACCTGAATGAGGTCCTACGCGTTCAAGAATAAATTTATACTATTATTAAATACGTTTTAGTCCCGTAGTCTAAATTACTTTATGAAATAGTTGTGAACAAAAATTTAAACAAAATAAAATTTAAACAAAATAATTTGCATTCATTTGATCAATCCGTGTTAGTCTCATTTTACCGACTTTTTACTAGATGACTGGTTATTTGCTAAATACATACATACATTAGTCACACATGCATAAGGCTTGAGACTTGTTACTTCGAGAAGCCCGACAACTTGTTAGATTACGAACGATGAAGGGCAGACGGTGACCAAATTTCCGGAGCCACGGTGTCGCGTAAAATGATACAGGCGACGCCGCGGCGGCATGCGATCAGCGACGCCGACCTCTGCTTAGTAACAAAAGTTTTAAAACAACAATTCACCATGAAAAGCAAACACATAGTTTGCACTCTAAAAAAATAGCTTTACCCTTTTGCAAAGTAAAGCAGAGAGTAGCGTAATGTACGTGGCTGGGCAAGAAATTGGACTAACTAAATTATGGGACGACCTGGAAATTGTATAAATTCTATCAGATATCTGGAATGTGACGACTCGGATTCTCAGCGACCTTGGATCGTTCTTGCTTATGTATGTATCTTTAATTTTTTTGATCCTACTTTTACTATGTGGTACCGTTTTTCTGGAAATTTTGAACCTGATATTTGCTATATTTACTAATAAAATTTGTCGGGCGTTTTTATATGCGCCAATAATTAGGTGATACAACTTATACATGGTATTTCAATTCATGTTTATATAAATGGATAATTTCAAGCTGTGTAATCTTTATTTTTTAAGGGGGTTTACAGGTCATGTTTTTCACGTGAAATCACCTTGACGTGGAAATTTTACGCAAATTTCGTAAATTTTTTTCATGACAACGGTGAAAACAACGCGTAATTTTCACTCGAGTGAAATTTTTACTCAAACTCGATGAAATTTCCGTGAAATGCTTGCACATTATTTCACGTGAAAATTCTGATTATTGGTCATATTGTATATTGTTGGCATAACGACAAATATGACAACGTTCAAAGAAAGTAATATAAATTTTCAAATCGGAATAAATGAACTTCAAAGTGGTCATGGGTACTTAAAAAAGTAACCATAATTAAAGATTTAAAATAAATGACTTGCAAACTAAGCTTTAGAATTTGCGTCAAATTAACTAATTTCTCGCAAATTTCTTTCAAATTTCATTCTATTGCTGCGGTAAAATTTTCACGGAAATTTCATTCCACGCGAGTTCCTGACCTGTAAACCTTACTTATGAATAGGTATGTATATCAACCCAAATGAAAAATTTAGATGAAAATGGACGATGTCCCGTTAAGGGCATAATATTTAGTTATTGACCATTTTATGAATTTATTGTCTGCAAAAGTAACCCGGGTATTAAATAAACCTCTTTGCTACCAATTAGACACATTTTTGCAAAGTTTTTCATCACTTGATATGTTTCGAAATATTGCCCCGCGAATTACACATTCTTGCGTATTACATATGTACATACGTACTATAACATTCCTTGGTTACCAAGTAAATTGAAAATTTAACGTTATCCTACATTTTACAGGTTGACAAATTTCCTTTCCGACTACTATATTTTTTTAAATACCCGACATACTTACACACATTTGTGTAACTGAAACGCAGTTAATTTGGTACTTAACGGAATATTTCCTAGTTGGACTTGATTTTCAGGACATAAAAATGCAAAAAAAGTTTGAATCGTAAAAAATGTCCATAATTTTTGCCAAATTTCTTTAAAAAAAGTCATGTACTTTAGATCAATAAATTTGTAAAAACTTACAGCTACATATTTGTCCTTGCATCAAATAACGACTGATGCAACCAAGAGTAAAAGAATCATGATGGTTCTGTGTTATAAAACATAATCTGCTATCTATGACTTCCACCAATCCGAATCCGACAGAACAGTTTATGACATCAGTTGCTTTACGTCACGCACAATTTTATTGCGTCAGGATTGTGTCGATTTAAGAATTAACATTCTTTGCTGCAGAAAAAGATATAATTTTATGTATGTATTAATAAAGAGTACAAGTTCCATTCCACAGGTCACCACATAAGCTGGACTTTGAACAATAAAATTTGGTTGTAAAGTTTGTATTTTTATTTTTACTACGAAGTTTTATAAAGCATGCCAATATTAATTTATGAAATTTACGCTGTGACTCCATGCATGAAACCTTTTATTGCTGGCATGTGTAAATAATTGCATCCATTAACAAGCTGATCAAATCAAGGTGAAGATCTCCGAAAATAATTTATGACAGATAAATCTCACTACGATTGATAAGGTGCATTCATTGTGTGAAAGTTGCCATCGTACCGTGTGCAATTATTTATATTGCAACAATTTAAGCAAATCCGATCCGACAGCTTCTACGTCAGCAGTAAATCAGAGTGATATTAAATTATAATTGGGCCCATAATATGCTTGTATAAACCGCCGACAAATGGATTAGCGAGTCAATTGTCAATGAGTAGAGGGGACCGTTCATCGGGTATAAAAAGGTTTGGGAACAGGGTTTTGGGTATCACAAGTTCGCTTTACTCATCTGAGCAAGAGCAACAAAAAGAAGAAACATTTCCAATTCTAAAAAAACAATATAGTAATTTGTTCAGCATGAAAGCTGTAGCTATTACGCTGCTCTTGGCCATTGGAGCCTACGGCCGGTCATTGACGGTATAATAACCAGCAAACAATTTTAAATGACAAGTTTTCAGCTAAATTTAACCTTCAAATTTGTTAATAGGTTCTTCCCGACTGCGACACTTCTGTTGTGCACCCACCAGTCCAACCGAGTGAACCATCCATTCACCCGGTTCCAATTTTCGGTGGTGGAGACGTCTCCTTCGGTGGCCAACAGCCATCCATTGTTCCAGTCCCAGTCTTCTCAGGCGGTGATGTCTCTTTCGGCGGACAACAGCCATCCATTGTTCCAGTCCCAGTCTTCTCAGGCGGTGATGTCTCTTTCGGCGGACAACAGCCATCCATTGTTCCAGTCCCAGTCTTCTCTGGCGGTGATGTCTCCTTCGGCGGACAACAGCCATCCATTGTCCCAGCTCCAATCTTCGGAGGTAGCGATGCCTCCATCGGGGGTGGAATTTCTATTCTCCCATCCGTAGGCAGTGGTACTAAGCTCCCACCAAAGGAACCCGTCGTCTCTATCCTCCCAGCCGTTGAGCCACAACAGCCATCAATTGTTCCAGTCCCAGTCTTCTCAGGCGGTGATGTCTCTTTCGGCGGACAACAGCCATCCATTGTCCCAGTCCCAGTCTTCTCTGGCGGTGATGTCTCCTTCGGTGGACAACAGCCATCCATTCACCCAGTTCCAATCTTCGGAGGTAGCGATGCTTCTATCGGTGGTCAACAGCCATCCATTGTCCCAGTCCCAGTCTTCTCTGGCGGTGATGTTTCCTTCGGTGGACAACAGCCATCCATTCACCCAGTTCCAATCTTCGGAGGTAGCGATGCTTCTATCGGTGGTCAACAGCCATCCATTGTCCCAGTCCCAGTCTTCTCTGGAGGTGATGTTTCTTTCGGTGGACAACAGCCATCCATTGTCCCAGTCCCAGTTTTCTCTGGCGGTGACGTTTCTTTCGGCGGACAACAGCCATCCATTGTTCCAGTTCCAATCTTCGAGGGACAAAAGCCATCCATCATCGGTGGACCAGTCGTTGACAACAAGCTCCCAGTTGTTGAACCAGTAGTATCCATCAAACCTGTTGTTGAACCACAACAGCCATCCATTGTCCCAGTCCCAGTTTTCTCTGGCGGTGATGTTTCTTTCGGTGGACAACAACCATCCATTGTCCCAGTCCCAGTTTTCTCTGGCGGTGATGTTTCTTTCGGTGGACAACAACCATCCATTGTCCCAGTCCCAGTTTTCTCTGGCGGTGATGTTTCTTTCGGTGGACAACAACCATCCATTGTCCCAGTCCCAGTGTTCTCTGGCGGTGATGTTTCTTTCGGCGGCCAACAGCCATCCATTGTTCCAGTTCCAATCTTCGAAGGACAAAAGCCATCCATCATCGGGGGCCCAGTTATTGACAACAAACTCCCAGTTGTTGAACCAGTAGTATCCATCAAGCCTGCCGTTCAACCAGTAGTATCCATCAAACCTGCCGTTGAACCACAACAGCCATCCATTGTTCCAGTCCCAGTGTTCTCTGGTGGTGATGTCTCCTTCGGTGGACAACAGCCATCCATTCACCCAGTTCCAATCTTCGGAGGTAGCGATGCTTCTATCGGTGGGCAACAGCCATCCATTGTCCCAGTCCCAGTCTTCTCTGGCGGTGATGTATCCTTCGGTGGACAACAGCCATCCATTGTTCCAGTCCCAGTTTTCTCTGGTGGTGACGTTTCTTTCGGCGGACAACAGCCATCCATTGTTCCAGCTCCAATCTTCGGAGGTAGCGATGCTTCTATCGGAGGGGGAATTTCTATCCTCCCATCGGTCGGCAGTGGCACCAAACTCCCACCAAAGGAACCCGTCATCTCCATCCTTCCAGTCCAAGGTGGTGAGGTCATCTCTATCCTTCCAGCCCCTGAGCAGGGATGCGTTGAAGAGGTTCTTCCAGCTGTTGAACCACAACAGCCATCTATTGTCCCAGTGCCAGTTTTCTCTGGCGGTGATGTTTCTTTCGGTGGACAACAGCCATCCATTGTCCCAGTCCCAGTGTTCTCTGGCGGCGATGTTTCTTTCGGTGGACAACAACCATCCATTGTCCCAGTCCCAGTTTTCTCTGGCGGTGATGTTTCTTTCGGTGGACAACAACCATCCATTGTCCCAGTCCCAGTTTTCGCTGGCGGTGATGTCTCATTCGTAGGACAACAGCCATCCATCCATCCAGTTCCAATCTTCGGAGGAAGCGATGCTTCCATTGGAGGACAACAACCATCCCTTGTCCCAGTCCCAATCTTTGCCGGTGGAGACGCTGCTATTGAAGGACACCAAGCTGATAAGTGGATCATCTTCTAAATACCCGGGCACCTGTAAAGACAACTTAACGGATTACGAATGTGATATACATATTTAACTACACAAATTTCAAAATTGTAATTTATAACTAACTTTGAATTTTATTAGAATAATAAATTGAATAATTCAGCATCAATTAATGGCATTAGTCCACAAATTATTTTCATACTCAATATTCGACTTCAAAATGAAGATGCATTATGTAAATATGCCCTTCATTGCGGATATATTTTCAATCATACTGAGGGTTAGGCGAGATTACAGAACGTGTCGAAAATTATTAATTTTTGGCCGAAATATCCATCGTTGGATATTTTAAATGATCTCATCGTATTCCTCATCCTTTTTTCATGAGGAATGAAGGTATCATTTCCAAAAAGCCGGGCTTTTAAAGCCGACAGCAGATTTTCTTTGAACCACTGTTCATCTAAAAGTTTGCAAAATGCATAAAAAAAATTTTATGTCCATTTGAAAAAAGTGTCGATCTGAAGTTTCAAATCAAAATTAAAGCACTGGAGGGGCATAACCGGACGTAACTAGTTTATCCTTATGCAAAATAATTTAAATTCCGAATATTAAAAAAAGAATGGCTGCGAACTGGGTGGTAATCCAAGCGTTGTCAGAGAAAAAGTTTCGCGTCGACCTCATATCTTCTGATCCTCGCTGAAGTTGTGCATATCTTGGTGAATAATTCAGTTCAGTGTACGCCCAGGGACCTGACACTTCGTGGCCAGTTGATTTTGGATTGATAAATAAATTCTTGCCTTGTCCACATCAATTTTTCTCACGTGCGTCGGGTTTCTTACAGTCCGGGGAGCATGCGTTCGACGGATGTGGCACAATCAAATTTCTTGCCTGGTTACTTTTTTCAACTGAATCCTTTATATTAGGCATTGGGCCATTAGAAATGACAGTTTTTTCATCATGGAGTTTGTTTAGTATTTTTTTGTACGTCATTATTGCTTGGCAAACTGTTTTATCAGCATGGAGCTCTGTGGGGTCAATTTCTGGACCCGTTTTCAAACTTTCGAAATTGAGCTTTTTGGTCACGGCGCAGCTTGAACAAAGCTTCGAGAAAAGTTTCGAATATTTCGAATTAGCGCAATTGTTTAATTTATATGGGCAAATTGCTACGCGTTCTGTAATCTCGTCTAACCCTCTGTAATAAATATGGAAATGAAATTGATGATTTTAGGTTTGATAACTTTTTGGAGCATTGCGTGTACAGTTTGTACAAACCGATTCGATGACAATAAAATAGTCTGGCTTAGGTGAGAAAATTTCTATATTTAGCAATATTACTTATATCGGTACTCATGTATGTATATATATTTATGCATGTGTGCATTAGCGGAGCTTCCGTGTTATACAAAAGCTGAATAAATTTGTAAGCCATCCGTCCTTTGGAAACATAAGTTTTTTGTATGCACCCCTCTTTTTGATTTCATACCTGTAGTTGATATTGTGTGAAACGACGGGGTTTATAATTATGTTAGAATTTAGGTTAAAACACGTTAAGCACAAACCCAATCGAAATGCATAAATACATACATATTTTGACTTTCAACTTTTATAATTAGAATTCGTTGACTTGGCGAGACTAAAATTATGCATGCCGTACAAAAGGTGATTAGACATGGTTTGCACAAATTCACAATTAAATTACGCTATGGGTTTTCGTTGGAGAGATTTCTAACGTTTTTTATGTGAAAGCCCATGTCTCGAACTATAGGTAAACATATTTGGCTTCCGGTGTTGTGCACTCTGAGGCACGAGGCAAGATCAAATTTACAGACGTGTCCTTTTTTAGTTTTCCAAACCAGTGTTCTTATAAAATGGCGTCGAACAAAAGATTTTTTCTGAGGCCCTAGTGCAGAAATCGTCTTTGCGACTATTATCAATTGACTCAGCATGCTTTTCACTATATAAAACCACTTTTGTCTCATGCTTATCTTTTAAGTCCCTTTTGTAGTTTAACTTCATACTTGTCCTATGGAATGCTCTCACGAACGCAACTCAACCCTGGAAAATCTTACACAATTTTCTAAGTGTACTACTAACACTTCGCTAGTGTACTAGCCGACAAAAAGTTCGTTCTTGCTAAAATCGAAATTTGACGCAAAAGTATGGAAGAAACAATGAACCTCGGGACGGCGGCCCCTTGAAATACGTTTACGGTTACCGCCATATTTTCATTAAGTATTCATTAGAGTGACCCTTCCCACTTATATTCGCAACTGAATGGTTCAATGAATTTTCAAACCATGCCGAAATTCGGTTGGACAATGGGTACAAAAATAAATCCCGAAACTGAAGTCAGCGTTAACCATCGACGAAGCATGGCTATAGCTTTATGATTCTTCGAAAGATATGCTACTCTATGAACCAGCATGAGCCTGAGAAATGGGTGCGGAAGCTTGAAAAGATATTTGTGAAGCTTATGTGCAATGATCATAACTCTACCCTAGCAGTGAGATATAGTATAACCTGGAAATAAGCACGCTCGATTAACTCATCTTCAACTTTTGAAGTTGTGTATATGAATGCTTGGTAGATTTTGCGCCCTTACATGTCGATATATTGTCGACAAGTTTTTGGCCCCATGGATTTTCTTCAATCGAATTTTGCTGTTAAGAATCCTATAGATGACGCGTTGGCGCATTAATCTCACTCCCCTATTCAATGTCTTTAAATGTGAATTCTAAAATGACATCAACTTCATGAATTTTGAGAGAAATTCAACTTTTAGTTGTTTAATGTAAAGCTGATTTTGTATACTACAAGACCTTGATGTTTAAAAAATAATAATTTATCTATTTTCGAGGAAATTTATTGTGACAAAGACGGTAAATAAATCAGCTAATTTCTTCAAATTTCAAGGTTTTGTACTACCAAAAATTAGGTTTAGAACAAAATATCAAAAGTTGCATTTTTCTCAAACTCATGAAGTTGATGTCATTTTAGAATTTGCATATAAATATATTGAACAAGGGTTGAGTGAGACTAAAAACTCTATGACGAAGATCTTGGACCTTAATTGGACAGGTTTTAACACCCTTGAAATTTGCGTTTTTCCCTCCATACACTTACATACATAAATTAATATGTTCTCTATTGAATTCATGTAAATTGTTGGAACAAACCTTCGAATGTCTTCTACATAATATTAAACAAAATAAACAGCTTTTCAGTGAGCTACATTTGAAACCCTGTGCTAGCGTCCGACCATTCGACACTTTCTAACTCCATGTATCTAACATCCGCCATGGGTGCCGTAAATACTCTATTTGTAGCCGAGTTTGAGCCCAAGTTTTAAAACTTTCATAATCTTGTCTCTAATTATTTCATTCCTTTCATGCCTTTTAAGTTTTTCAATTTATGTATTTACCGAGCAAAAATTAGCCCGGTTTCTATTTTTTCTGGATTGCAACTGTCGCTGGCTTTTGACAAGGCTATCAATAGAATATTACGGTATATCTGGTAGGACATGGTAGGTTCATTTTTATTTTAATTCGAGTTGATAATCCATTCCACAGGGGTTAGTGGAAAGCAAAAAATACAATTGTAAAGATTTCAAAAGGCTCCATTCCAACATAGAGTTCATTAAAACTAAAATTGATGGGAATTTGGCTTGATATTACAATGTTGATTTTTGGTTGGATTTTTTTGTCCTGTATTTTCCTGATGCAATAATTTTTTATATATGTACCTACTTTGCTTTACAGTGTCGTACAACCTATAGTAATTTAATTAATCAGGTCAAAGTGGACAAACTCGACAAGTCCAACTGAGTTAACTCGATTTTTTATATTATGATGTGTTTTCACTACAGTACGCGTTTTTTAGACATATTATTTACCTCGTATTTATACTAGTCATTTCTTTTTAGGTTTATGTTGATTTAACGATAAAGAGCATCCACTAAGGTTTTTGACTGCCCCGTAAAAGGCGCGCTAGGCGGGAACACAGCGAAATTAAATTTCGAAAAAATTATTTTTGAATAGACCAAGTTATGAGCTTTCCATTGATATATGTCACCAATTATTGAGTCATGGCTAAGACTAGATAAACTTGGGTTGAAAGGCAAGAGTTGAAAAAAAGAGTGATTGAGTTTCACAAAAATCGAACAAACTATGATTCTAAAATCACTTGGCACTTTTTCAAGCAAGAAGGTATTCCTCATTCAAATGTCAACTCTTACATAAAAAAGTACGAGGAGTCCAATGAACTCAAATTCAAAGTCCCCACTGGTCGACCTGCAAAGCTAGCGACGACAAAAGTCAAAAATCGGATAAAAAAATCTTCAAAAATCATCCGTCAACGACAACGGCTGGCGCCGCAAGCAAGGTTGAGATTTCAAAAAGCTATCTGTGCAAAATCAAAGTCCATAAACTAGGGATTGTAGCCAGGGCAAAAAAACCAGCACCAAATTACAAACCAACACAACAGGAAAGGATTCATGCGTGCTGGAAGAAATTGTTGAAGAAAAATCGGGAAAAAGTGGTCATCATGGGCGATGAGCCCCGTCACAGCTGACACTTCAAATCTTCCAGGAAGGCATTTTTTCCATTGCTCCAACCCCTGTGAAGTAAAATATAAAGACAAAGTCCACAAGAAAGACCAATTCACAAAACAATGAAGAATTTGGCAACGCATGTCTAGCATTGGTCATGTTTCTGATCCCGTTATTTTGGAGGGCACTGTAAACCACTGGGTTTATCTTAAATCATGCATTAAAGGGGGATTGGAATCTTTTATTACTAAAGATTATAAAAAAATAAAGTTTTGTTTTGGCCTGACCTCGCAAGGTCCCATGACGCCAAAAAGGTCACTCAGTACCGACATCTGAAAAAAATTGAATTTGTGCCAAAAAATGGAAACCCACCAAATTTTTCTAAACTGCGACCAATTGAGAAATTCTGAGCGCTGACTAAGTCCAAATGTTCTAAGCTTTCAGAAATGCCAGACACCTTACGAAAATTTAAGAACAGATGGAAGAAAATCAGCTTGAAAGTATGTGCAGTCTATGGGAGGAATTTGACGCGAAATCGGAAGAAAAAACTGCAATCTGTAGCAGACAGCGGAATTGAATCATTAAAATTTGAACTGTATGGCAATCTAGACCCTTTGGTAGTA